CCTCCTTGGATAACAGGGTCCAGCCTGTGTTTTGAAAGCAGTGTTCCAGATGCTGGTGAAAGAAAGAACCCTCTGTCCCATGAGCCCGTCTGCCCAAGGTGACTCATTCCCGTGTCACATATTTCTAAACTCTCCTTGCCATCCCCAGAGTTTTCCTAATCCCGTCTGGCCAGTTCCTCTACAAATTCCTCTGCAGCTTTGCCTCACATCCTGTGAAGCGAGTGTCACTGGAGTCTATAAGAAAGGACAAATGTGAACTGTCACCCCCTTGGAGAGAAACGGTGGCCTTTCTGAGGGCTGGCCTCCCTGCACTGGGGTGATGGGGCGAGGTGGGGGGATGCCATGGCTGCTTTCAGCCATAGCATTTATGGATATTGTCTCCTGGTCCCCCCTTGCCCCTATCTGCAGTGTGTTCCATTTTTCTGTCTTCCTAATCAGTTCTTACCCTGCAACCAACATCTTCACCTGGCTATCAAAGCCTCTTGCATTTAAAAATACGGATCAAGTCATACAATATTGCAATTTCTGCTGTGCAGTTAAAACCCTGCCATGTTTGCAGATAAAATGTAATGTTGGGATATAATACATAAGGGAGAAGCCTTGGAACCAGCAGGCCCTGGGTTCCATGTGACCCATTTACATATATGTTTGTGCCCACATGGCTGTCCCATAGGTGTCCCCTATGGGCCTCATGCTGGTTGCAGTATTCTCGCCTTCTAGGTACCACGCACCACCTCCTGAGCTCCTAGCTCTGTCCTTTATGACCCCCCAGCCCCAGACATGGTAGAGGAAGAGGGGATCCTGGACCCCCCAAATACCCACATTACTTTCTGCCTCTCTCTTGCCTGACTCCTGCCCCTTCAGCCTGCATTAGTTCGTTACCCATGTGGCTTTCCTCCCCACCTCCTCTAAATCGAGGGCATCCTTCATCCAAAAGGACCCTGTAACCTCTCTCCAACCTCCCCCCATTTCCCTGACACCAAAACCTTCTTCACCCCTTTACTCAAGAAGCCTGGTTTAGGAGACTCAAAATGGATGAGATGTGGAACTCAGAGACCAGAACTGAGCATGGTCAACTCCGCTGGGGTGACCAGGGGCCTGAGGATGCTTTTCCCAGGTCCGGGCACTAGAGCTGAGTGTCCACAGAAGAGAGAGCTGAAGACACAGCCTAGGTCCCAGTCCCGTGCTTGAGCAAGGGGCCTGCACGAAGGGGCTGGGGGTGGGCTCCCCGCTCTGTGGTCCAGGGGAGATGGTTGCCCAGCACCTCTCAACAGCATTTTCCATTCACACACCAGTGAATGGGTTTCACAATGGCTCCATTCTGTGAACTCACAAGATAAATAGGCTAGCCTCTCTGACATTCTTTGTTGCTTGAAATTCTTGCCTTCCAAACAGCTGAACTATAAGCACTGCAACCCTTGTCCTTCCTGGAGGGCAGGCCTGGGCTCCCACTCTACTTGCGGTGGGGGGGATCAGCCTTTTATAAGGTTTTCCTTCCATCGTGTGTGGTTTTCCCCTCACCAATAACCGCCCCCACCCCCCGCCGCCCCATACACACACACACACACACACACACACACACACACACACACACACACACACACACACACACACAGTTTTTTCTGAAGTCCGCAATCCAGGATTCCCATCTTTGGAACTAGTTAAACAGAAATGAGATGCTGGCAGGAGCAACCTAAAGGGATTCCTGCCCCAGAGGGTGGCTGGCTGGGTGGCCTGTGGCAGGCAAGCTCCAGCTTTGAAACTCAGGTGAGAGGAGCCTGTGGCTGCAGCCACAAGCCTCCATCTGAACTGTGTGTTGTCTCCCTGGAGCCACGGCTGTCCCAGGGCTGTGCTGTCCCCACACAGGTGCTCCGAGGAAGGGTTTCCTGTGTTTCTAATGAGCCTTAGAGCCTGCCAAGGCCACATGTTTCTGGAAGGCCTTCACAGAGCCCAGCTTTCCAAGCACAGGTGTGGGACTGGCATTCTGGGCACCTGGGCTTACACAGATGGGGCAGTTAGGGAGGTCTGGACATTCACACCCTTGCCCCTCAGGAGACTTTGCTCATAGTAGGGGAATTGTAAGCAGTGGGACATCCCAAGAGACAACGGATGTGGCTTCTGGAAGAGAGGGATTGAGCCTCACTGCCAGGCATGCTGAATCAATTTTTTAAACTCATTTGGGGGGGTTGTAACTGATGAATACACAACTAGCAGTGTGTCATGACAGGCTGTGGTCAGAAGGACTGTTGTGTGGTGTGGTAATTAAACACTGTCTTGGGCATAGATAGGAGTTGGATGGACTTGAGTTTGAATTTGGCTGCAGGAGCCTGGGCATATTTCTTAACCTCTCTAAGCCTCAGTTTCCGCACCTGTAAAATCACATGTTTCCACAGGCTGGACCAGAAGGCCAGGGGCTGGGATGTGCCTATATCATAGGTTATTATAAGGACCACATAAGACAACACATGTAAAAGTGCTGGGCCAGAAACTGTCCATGCCCACTAAGTGGCACCCACCCACCTGAGAAATAAAAGAAGCCTTGCCCCTGGTTTTTAGTTCTGAGGCCTCTTAGGGGTCTCACCATGCAGCAAAGGGAAAGTGGAGGCCTTACCTCTCATTACAGAGCCTCAACTGAAGTTGTGTCTAAAGTGAGATTATAAAGAGAAGCCCAGGGCACTAGGAGGTCTTTTGCCATGGGAATGACAGGGTATAGAAAGGAACTACTCTTCTCATATTGCTCAAATTATGAATACAAACCCAGTGTCTTTTATCTGTGGAACATATTGGTTTTACAACATGATTAGTTCCCAAAATACCTTTGTGACAGCTCACCAGTAAGGAACAGAGGGGGCAAAGTAACTTGCCCCAAGGCTGGGGGAGCTCCGTATACCTCAGAGAATTGGTGATAGTGTCTGCTCTATCCTGGCTGCAGTGGGACAGTATTTGCTTTCTTGTCTTGGTTTTGCTTAAGCAGAAATCAACGTGGAGTCCAGGAACTGTACTGACTATAGTTCTGCGAACTTACAGAATATGGGGTCAGGGAGGGAGGTGGCAAGATAATTCATTCATTCAGGGACAGTTTGTGACAGGTCAGTGGCGCTTCCTGTCGAGAGCTGTGACAGCCTCATGTCATTCTTTATGTTACTACAAGTCACTGGCTGACTTTGGCCCAGAGTGGTTTGCAGTCATGCCAGCAAAGTCAGAGTGTGCCCAGTCCCCAGCCGACAGCGTGGAACCACTAAGGCTCTTCCTGGCTTTGGGCAGGAAGGTCTCACTTTATTGCTTTGTGTGTGCATTGCAGACTCAGCCTCTCACCTATGTCCAGGGGAACCCTAAGAGCTGTGCCTATTGAACAGCAAGAAAGATTTGCAAAGGGAAGACATGGGGATTTTGCTAGTTTTTCTCTCCTTGCTCCCTGCTCTGGCCCCAATATCTGGTTCAGGACCCTTTGGGAGCCTTTGGGAAATTCATGCCAGGCTCCCAGTAAAAGCAGCCTGAGGTATTTGTGATATTTCTCATGTCAAAGCCCTAAAGGAAAGTCATGAACATGATTGCTTTACCTTGTCTGAGTATGCTTTTCTCCTAAGAGTCAAGGGCTTCTAGTCTACACCCTGAGTGAAGGGGAAAGGAGCCGTCACAACCAACATGGCAGCGTTTGCCTGGTCCTGTGCAGTGGACGGGTCACAGCCAAAAACTCTGCTCGTTTTGTGTATGACTGGATTCATCTGCCTTTCAGGCTAACCTGTAGGTGGCCCAGCCGCTGTGTGGCCACCATGGCATCGTTTTTGCACTTCAGTTTTAGGAAGTCATTCTAATTTAGTTCATGCTGATTGCATAACTCAAAAGAGGTTCCTTCTTCACTGGAAATGTGCTGCAGTGTTTCCAGAAACCTCTGATACTGTAATGTGAGGGCACATGAGGTCATCCACTGGCAGGGGTGACTTCCTGGGCGTGCGACCTGTGTAGCCACAGAGTCTCACGCTGAGATGGGCCCCGAGCTTGGGGTTAATGCCATGCCATTGCAGTCTTCAAGTTCTTCAGAGTTTTATCTTTGACTTTGTATCTTTAAATGAAGTCCAGTGGGTCAGCGGAGTGTGTGCTGGGGCATATGATCCCACCTCCTGCCACCTTCTGCCTCCCCTAGGTGGGTTCTCACCCCTGCCACACTCCAACCCTGGTGGGGTTTGGGGTTAGGTGCGTGTACCCCACGGCATCTCGGGGCAGGGCTCGGTGGCAGCTGTCCCCATCCTGGGTGACAGCTCCATGGCATGTTTAGTGGGTAAGTAGATAAGCATGAGGCTCTCCCCTAGCCCTGAGCCGGGTACCTCATACATCCTGGCACAGAGGTCGTAATACCCTTGGGAGTGACCTGTCTGCCTCTGGTGGGGGTGCCTGATCTCTGGACAAAGAAATGCCTGACTAGACTTCCCTGTCCCTAGTTGGGCCGTGACACATCTGTCCAGCTGCTGGTCGGAGAGGAAGCCCACCAGTCAGTGGTCACGTGTGCACTCTCACCCTTTGTTGCTGGGGCCCCCTGTGCCTTGAGGGGCTGTGCTCACCTCGCAATTATCCTCATACTTCAAAGAGAAAAATGACATAAGCAGCAAATAAACATTATGACATGCACAACAATGTGAATGTACTTAATGCCACTGAGCCGTACACTTAAAATGGTTATATATGTTTTACCACAATAAATATATGTGTAAGCTATTTTAACAACAAAAACAAGAAAACACCATGACAGGTGTAGAGAGGGACCCTGGAAGAAGGGAAACGGCTTTATAGTTTAAGGGCAACGTTTTCCTGCTTTTTTAACAAGGGACCCCGCGTTTTCATTTTACACTGAGCCCCCCAAATTATGTAGCCTGGACTGCTTTGTAAAATGACCACAGCCACCCTTGTAAAACTACCCAGTCTTTACCTTTCCAGAGGCCTGCCCTCGAATCCTAAGTCATGCGCTGAGTTGACTCTTACCTTTCTCTGTTCTTCCCCAACAGGTCTTTTATTGGCTGTGTGCCAGGCCCTGGAGAACACCACATCCGCCCTGAGTGGTGAGTCCTGTCCCCTCATCCCCTCTGTGTGGGATGGTGTGGCGGGTAGAAAGGGAGCAGAGTCTGGCTAGTTTATGGGGCCTGAGCGCTAAGCTACCTTCTAGGGCTCCTGCCTGCTGAGCTCATACACGGCTGTCTGCTGAGTCCTCTCTGCCCTCTGCCGCAGTGGCCAAGGTCATGCTCCAGGGAAATCTTAACTGCAGGCCCATGGGAACTGTTCCCCACTCGCTCAGGGCTCACCCTCTCCCATCTCTCTCTTCAGACAATCAGCGTAGGCCAGGGTGCTGGAAAACAGGGTCCGCAGGACCCAAGAGCTCGGAACCATCCGCATTTTCCTAGCTCATGTAATAATCCATCTAAAGAAGAGCCCAGATTTCTGAACCCTTTTTTCTGCGTCTGCCTGGTGATCTTTGTTTAGCTGTTTCCTGGTTTGCCTTTTGACATTTGTAGTAACATTTTCCTTACTTCATTTTAAAGATCCTAGATAACAGATTGGAGAGTTTGGGAACCGTAGGAGGCAAACCACTTGTGGTCAGAGTACGACACAAGCATAACTGTTACATTTGCACATTGCTTTTAGCCTTTGTCCACGTGCACTGGTATTTAAATAATTAGTCATGGTGAGGAAGATGTTTTGATTCTCGCTTTTTAAATTCAAGGTTTGGAGTTGTGCTTCTTCCAAAATTTATCCTTTTAAAATGCCACGATGCTCCACTAAAATGGACATGTGTTGTTGTAGTAAGCATCCCCATTTATGTTTATGTCTGTGTTTCCTCCAGTTTAAGTTATGACGCTACATCTTCAGGCCTAGAATCTTTTTCCTTCTTTTGGATTCCTTCCTTAGGATGCATCTCTAGGAGCAAGAATAGATACACTGATGACCCTCGGTACAAATTGCCAAATAGCTTTCCAAGTGAACTGAGCAGATATTTACACCAGGAATGGATGAGTCTGCCAGTCTCACTGTTCTCTCATTGACATAGGTTATGCTCCCATCTGTTACTGCAGTGGCCTCCCAATCTGTCTCTGTTTCCCCAGTTATCTCAAGGCAGTGTCAGTGCAGGGGGCGGGTGTTTCTTATGTATCCATAAATTCTCTAATCAACCACACACTGTCTTGGTACTTTGTTCTTCTGCTCTGCTAGGCCTTTCCCTCCAAACACACTAGACGTAATGCTGCCACTTCCATGGGCTACCTCTCCTTCTGCAGCCCCACAGTCTCCCCTTGGAGCTGTTATGCACTTGAACCCTTAAGGTGTCTGAGCCACTTTATGGCCCATGATGCCACAGAAGAAAATGCCTCTCTTCTGTGTTATGCTTTGTTGAGGCTTGGGGTGTAAAGGCCTATCCCTCCCAGAGCAGGGCTTCTGAGAATCAGGGCCTACCAGAGTTTCCATAAAGCAGTTCTTTCACCTTTTAATTACCTCCCACATCATAAAAGGCTCAGATATGAATATATGGGAAGGGGGATTGCTTAGTGACTCCCCCATACTGTCTCAACCACCTTCCTAGGATTTACCCTCCTCCAGGAGTAACCTCAGTCCCTCCTGGTCCTCACTGTAGGACCTGTAGCTGAAGGTATCACTTGCAGGTGACAGGTTGCAAGGATAGCAAATGCTGATGCTACCATCCATGGGGAAGGGGTACTTCTGGTTATTGTACCCTTCCTTCCAGTCACCATTCATTCATACAGACAAGAAGGTCCTAGGGGTGTTGTACCTGACCCTGTCCCCTTAGGTATGGCCCTGCCTAGGCCCTTTGGAGTTTCACAGTCCCCTAGACAGACATGGGAAGACCTGCTACATTTATCCAGAAATGACTGTCCTTGCTACAGTGGTGAAAATCTCAGTTCCATCTTTCCGTTCTGGACTTGCTTCTGTGAGAATGTCTCTGATATGAACAAGCCCTGGAGGCCTACTCTTCTCATGATGTATGTTTAGAAAACAGTAGCTGCGCCCTGCTATATTGCACATCTCCCCGTAACAGGCTGAATGCCACGCTGTGGCCCAATGTGGTGGGTGAGAATGGGAGCGGTACCGCAACTTCTAGTGTCCAGAAGGCTTTGGGGCCTTGGAGCTGGTTGGTGGTCTGTGGAGAAGGGAAGTGGGTTGCCTGTCTGGCCTCTGCAATGGTCTCTATTTGATGGGTTACTGAGCAATGGGACTTGTGCCCAGAGAGGTCAGTGGACTAGCTCTTTCCGTTTTTACTTATTCTCTGCCCTGCCTTGTTGGACCCAGACATGAATCCAGAGAGGGCTGGACTAGGAAACAAGCCCAAAGTGTGGTGATCGTATCAGAGCCACCCCTCCAAGGGATAGGGCCTTGAGACTGAATCAGGCTTGTTTGCTTAACTTTCTCTACCTTTAGGGTGAATTTCCTGTCCCCTAGAAGACGCCTCAGGCCCTGGTAGGTCTTGACAACCACTGTCTGTACTCTGTCCTCACCAGACATGGCTAAAATCCTGTGGTGGGTACAGCTCAAACCGGGGACCGTTCCCACCAACCACACTCACCACCCCAGCACTGGAGTGTGCGTGTGCGTGTGTGTGTGTGTGTGTGTGTGTGTGTGTGTGTGTGTGTGTGTTTAACTCTTGGCTAATTCAATAAGAAACTATTTGTTAGTATTTACTATGGGAATCTTTATACATAGAAGAGAAGTAATAGGGAAATAAATTCCCATATACTCATCATCCAGCTAAAACAATTAGCATCACTGCTATTTTTCTTTCATCTATTCTCTTTTTTATTTTTCCCTTTGCTGGAATATTTTAAAGCCAAGACCATTTCACTTGCGTATACTACTTATATCCAACACATAAGGACTTTGAGAAACAAAACCATAGTTCTATTACACCAACAAAAGCAACAACGATTTTTGTTGTTGCTGTATCTTTAACTATGGAAGGTAAATGATGCTGCACTCAATTTTGTGACACTTCATTTAATTTGCATTCCCTTTCATGTTTCTATATTTTGTTTTCTAGTTGTCTTACTTTATATTATTCAGATGAACACTGTTTTTGTAAAATGTGCACATTTATGTATTGGGTGACTGACTTTCACTTCTGAGTCTCTCCTAACCCCTTATGCTCCGGGTGTTGGTCGGCTCATTTACTAAATCCCAGAACTATCCATTTCGATGCAAAGATGGGTCATTTTCGGACTGAAGCTACAACTGCTTTACCCGTGACATAAATATACAGGTCTCTTCACTCTAAGAGTTGACAGGAGTGAGAATCATGGACATAAGAAGGTTTGATGCCTGAATGACTATGCTGGAGCAGGAAGACTGCAGGCGTCTTCAGAATTAGGCTCAAGCATTTTGATGCAGCAGCATAGAAAGAAAATTGCAAATTTTACATGCCAATCAAGGGTGATAACTGAGCTCACAAGAACAGGGGCTGATCCCATGTGGCTTTCTTGTGCTTTTTGAAAAATAATGTTCCATGTATTTATTACTTGACAGTTACCCTTGGCCTTTCTTATTGTGATTTCATTGGTTTCTTCCAGTCTTCCTCTCTCTTAGATCCCCGAATGTGGAGGGTAAATGAATCCAGAGGCATAAGGAACTAGCATTATTGTCATCAGTAAATGCTTCTTAGACATCTACTTTGGGTCGGACTTAGAGGGATACGTGCCTTAGGCTGGAATCCTGGAGGTTGGGCCCAGCTGGTCTCAGTTTTGGCAGATCCCTGGGATCTTGGCAAGTTCTTCGTCTTGCCCCTGTTTGGATCTTAATTTCCTCATTTGTTGGACTTGACTCAGACTGGCCTGTAAGATTTTTTTTCACATGACCACTCTGATGGATTGGTGGAGACTAATTGGAAAGTTTTGTTGAGAAGGATTATAAGGCTGCTTTCACGCTGTTAGGAAATACAGTGGTGATCAATTGGTGATGCCTGCCATGGACCCAAGGTAGGGAAGTGGTAATGTGATTGCCATGTATTTAATCCTTTTGGAACCAGATGCTATTGCACATTCAGGTTCCAGCATTCTAGTTGCTGGGACTATACAGAGAAGCACCTATCTGCCCTTGTCCTCCAGGACCTGCCATACATGTGAAAAGACAGCATAGGAACCCATAATAAGAGCCTCTAATGACATAAGGCAGACTGGGCTGACCGCTTAATGTGCGCTTTAGGAAATAATTGCTACTGGAGTGAAATCAATAGTTTGGGGGTTAGAACAAGAAAATTTTATCTCATTTGTTGTCAATTTGTAAAGCATGTGGAGAAACATTAGCTGGAGGCAGGGTGAGGGTGGCAGCACCTACAGCATAGAAAATGTCACACCCTCCCGAGGAAGGAGTTCTGACGTATCTTCAAAAGGCACCTCTTAATGCCCCTGAAAAGGCACAGAATGCACCCTGTTCAGTTGTTGGGTGGCTTCTTGCTTAACCCTCTGAAATGTTGCACAGTTCCCAGGCTGCCCATCTGGTTCTCCTGTTTTCATGAGACTCACTCTAATGACTGAGGGGTGTGGTGAGGGCCTTGTTCAGGCACCTGGGAGCCAGGCGCTGGGCTTCCGAACTCTGCTATCTGCCTTGTGTGACCTGATCATGGTACTCAGGGTGGCTCTTTAAACCTCTGAACTACTGCTCCTGCCTCTAACCTGTGTCTAATGATAACCACATGGAATCAGGGAGTGTTTGAAGGCTTGCTTCATTTAGTTTCAGAGGTGGTGATGAAAGAGCATGGAGAATTCACAGTGGTGTTATTCATAGGGAGGGTCACCATTATCAGCTTGCTCAGGGAAATTGGTGATCAGATTTTGTTGGGGACACTGGACTTCACTAAGTTGAGAGGGTGTGTTTGGGCTGGAGGTGCACAGAGGGAGGGCAAAGCAGATTATAGGAAAAAAGTCTTGGAAGGCATTACTTGTTTGGAAAACAGGTAGAACATGGATCAACCAGCAAGCCAGGGCTCTGTTTATTGCTCATCTCGCCAAACAAAAGCTTTTCAGAACTGCAAAATGCTTCCCCATTCCACAGACTGGAGTTTTCC